ACTCTGCCACTGCAATCCAGCCTAGGTGACAGAAAGAGACTCTATCTCCAAAAAAAAAAAAAAAAAAAAAATAGGAAGGAAGGAAAGAGAGAGAGAGAAAGAGAGAGAGAGAAAAAGGAGGAAAGAAAGAAAGAAAAAGAAAGAAAGAAAGAAAGAAAGAAAAAGAAAGAAAGAAAGAAAAAAAATACAAGAAAAAGAAAAAGTGTTATTTATTTGAACAGGTTAAAAACAGATGGACTGGGTGGGTGTGGTGGCTCATGCCTATAATCCCAGCGCTTTGGGAGGCCAAAGTGGGCGGATCACCTCAGGTCAGCAGTCTGAGACCAGCCTGGCCACATGGTGAAACCCCATCTCCAGTAAAAATACAAAAATTAGCCTGGCATGATGGCGCATGCCTGTAATCCCAGGTACTTGGGAGGCTAAGGCAGGAGAATCACTTGAACCTGGGAGGCAGAGGTTGCAGTGAACTGAGATCATGCCACTGCACTTCAGCCGGGGTGACTAAGACTCCGTCTAATAAAAAAAAAAGTTGAGTATAGGAATTGTACATGGTTCATCCTAATACGGATGTAAAGTGCCTAGCATGCAGTAGGCACTCAGTAAATACCACTGTTTATTCCCCTAGCTCCACTGACCTGAGTACCTTGGTGTATTCAATGGTTAAATGGACATCTTTTCCTAGCACTGGCTTTGACAGCTGCTGCCCTCCTCCAGGCTCCTCCCTCCCCCAAACCACCCTCTCCCTGCCTGTCAGAAGAGAGCACTCAGAGCTGTTCACACCCCTTCTGAGAGGCCCAGGGCACAGCTCCTGAGCTGGGCTGCGTCTTGGCAGCAAAACGCCAACCCAAACAGACAGCAGAAGGCAATATCTCTGGGGCAGAACAACTGCCCACCAGCCCCATACCAGCTGGTGGGGAGAGGGCAGCCAGCAGGACCAAGCGATTGGCTGCTTCCAGACTGGTCCCACCCCATCTTCCCTGGATCTTGGGAACCCACCCTGTGGAACTGTGCATCGCTTCTCCAGCAGGACCCTGCGCAAGTGCAAAGGTTTCCTGTTATGTAAAAAATGCAAATCATTCTTTCTAACCAACATGCTGGGCCAGATCCCTGCATAGAGACCTGAAAAATAGTGGGGCCTTTGGAGAATGGAACATAGGACAGGTAAGTTTTGATTGGTTCTGCAGGATGGCTCACAGAGTCAGGAAGGGTCTAGAACAGGCCATCAGAGGAGGGAAGAGCTCTTGCCTGAAGGAAGGAGAGTCTTTAAAGTCACATTTGTTACAATGTCTACTGCTATCTAGTTCCACAAACCATCTGCCCTACTCAGTCCCAAAACAACCCTTAAGAATCTCCAGATCAGCCGGGCACAGTGGCTTGTGCCTGTAATCCTAGCACTTTGGGAGGCCAAGGCGGGTGGATCGCCTGAGGTCAAGAGTTTGAGACCAGCCTGGCCAACGTGGTGAAACCTTGTCTCTAATAAAAATATAAAAATTAGCCCTGTGTGGAGGCAGGCACCTGTAATCCCAGCTAAGGCAGGAGAATTGCTTGAACCCCAAAGGCAGAGGTTGCAACGAGCTAAGATCACGCCATTGCACTGTAGCATTCCAGCCTGGGCAACAGAGCAAAAACTCCGTCTCAAAAAAAAAAAAAAAAAAAAAATCTCTAGATTGATCAGGACACACGCAGACCCTGGGAGCCAGTTATAGAGGCAGATTTTTATTAACTTCCAGGTGTCAAATAAGCACCAACATCAACCGCTATTCATGAATTAGGTCATTTAAGCCTCATAATGGATAAGGATCATTATACTTCCTTTACAGATGAGGAAACTGAGGCACAGATCGGTTAAATAGCTTACCCAAAGTCACAGGAACAGAGCTGGGATTTGAAACCAAGGAGACAGATGCCAGAGATCACATTCATAACCATTGTGCCAAATAACCAAAGGCTTTCTAATCTTGGGCCCTGAGTTTACCATAGCCAGTAAAAATAATTGCTTGGGAGCACAGTATACTCTGCCTGAAGCAGGGGCCTGAACCTGTCCATCCCACAGTGTCATTTGCCTTCAGCAGAGATTCGGCCCCACGGTGGCCCTGTGCTCTGACTCAGATGTGACCCTCTGCCAGGCAGCTTTGCTTAGCTAGCTGAGCCCTAGGATGAGCATGTCAGATCCCCCACTAGGCACAGAGCAGAAGGGTCCTGGGGCTGCAGGGAGTGGTAGGCCCCCTCGTGAGGTGAAAGGCAAGTGGAAACAAGTGTTTCTGGGAGCCAGAGGCGGCAACTCATAATCTTCCCTGAAGCATTGGCCCCTCTACCCCAGCTGCCCATCCTGAGACCCTCTGGAGTTCTCACTTGCCAGCCCCTCTGCCTACCCCACTGTTCTGTGCCCACCAGCAGGTGTCTCTTAGATGCCCAGGGTAGGGCATGCCGTAGCCTCCTCTCCTCAGCCCAGACATTGCTGAGCACAGGGTGCAGGGGGGAACAACTTGACTCTAACTGGTGACCGTGGAGTGAAGACTATGCTGGAGAAAGCCACTCTTTGCATCTCTCCCTCCTCCCTGTGCTCCTCTCCTCCTCCTTTTCCTCCTCCTCTCTCTCTCTGTTCTAGAACCTGAATAGTTGGGCCTGGCTAAGGCAAAGAGATGCATCTACAATTTCAAGGCCACCCAGCCTGTTTTCTCACCTCCCTTCTGTTCTAAGTGACTGCTCCCTCCTCATCCCTCCCCACCAAACCCACTCCCCCCGCCTCTGGCTTTCTGGAGAACATGAGCAGGGCCTAAGTCAGGCCTTCCTCAGCTCATGGATCATGTCCTCTGAGAGGGAACTGACCCAGGGTCAGCCCCAGAGCCACATCCCCCAGGAAGGCCTCTTATGCAAGAGGGTTTGAGTCCTGAGGGACCAGATGCTGCTGCCTTAGGGTGACCATTGTAGCTTATTGAGCACCTACTGTATGCCAAGCATGTGCAAAGTAGCACGCTAGGTGCCTCATGCTCCTCCACTCCTGCAAGTTAATTCCTCTTACGGTATTTGGCAAGTGGCAGGCACTGTTCCAAGCACATGAGCTACCTTGGTGAACAGGTTTTTTTGTGAGCACATGCTGCTTATTGTTTGTACCTGACAGGTGGGGGAAACTGAGGCTTCAAGTTTGCCCAAAGTGGTGAAGCAGAGATTCTATTTCAAGGTGTCTGACTCCAAATCCGCCACATCTGCCCTTCATCTCCTTTCCTCTCCACTGGAGTAGAGGGTGTGTGGGTCTGACTCGGGGTGGGAATCCCTGCCCTCAAATGCTTACACAGTTGCTTTGAGAGGGGAGGGAGGACATCTACACACCTGAGATGTCTCAAGAGGTTTCATCCTCAGTATGTGAGTGACCCTGTGGCCCAGGCTGAGTACCCAGGGCCCGGCAGACATGAAGACAGTGATTTCAGCTGTGTGTCTCCTGGGTGAGAGGATGCCTAGAAGTGGGGAGCATGAGGCCAGGCTTTTCAGGAGCAGGGGATCATGAACTTGCAGAGATAAAGAAGGAGTGGAATCTGGATGGGGAATGACCTGTTCAGACGCTTGGAGGTGGGAAGGACCCCAAGACAACTAAAGACGACAGGCATGATTGAAGGCTGGGAGGGAGTGCCAGGCGCAGGGACGTGCATGCAGGAGAAGGGAAGGGAGGCCATATTGCTTCTGACGGCTGAGGAGGTGAGACTGGAACTAATGGGTCATCAGGAAGCTCCCAGCAGAGTAATGACAAGATGCAAATGGCGTTGGGAGATTATCCTGACAACATGGTGTGTGGGACCTTGGGGCTATCACAGGAGCCCTCAGAGGGCCCGGCTCAGGGGAACAGCTACATGCAACCAGACCCCAGGCCGCTTTCATTCCCACTTACTCCCAAGTCTTCAAGAGAAAGTCGCCCTGAATCCCTCCCTCTTTCAAGTCCCTGCCCAGCCTCTCTGGCTCTACCGACACCTCACCAATCCCACAACTTTGTAATACAGGGCTTGGGGGGCCACAGGGTCACCTCTCAGGAAGGGTCTGACCAAAGAACCACCTGGAAGAGGATGAGATGGGTGATTTGGAACAAGGGCACAGTAAGGGCTCCAGAAATGAGGTTGGTTATTTGGGGCAGGGGGCATGGCATCTGTGGGGGAACCTCAAAGTGGGTGATGCTGCACTAGGGTAAAATCCCCCCTTGCCACCTGTACCCTCTTACTGCCTGGGGCAAGCTTCCCTTAGCTAGGAGAACCTGGGGCAGACCCAGCTCTTAGACAGAGAAGCTACCCCTAAACACTGTGTGACATGAATAAAGATTGGGGCGTGGTAGCCCCAAAAAATATTCCCCCTCCTTCTCTGTTGGATTCTACAATTTTTTCCCAAGTTATTTTTTTAATGGTGCCACTTTAAGTTGTTATCATGTATCCACACCTCAGTATGAATGAGTCAATCTGATCCTTTTCCAGGAGTCGATTTCGTTGTTGTTGGAAATGAAGGAAGGCTTTAAAATCCCGGGTTCTATGACGGTGGGGTAGGAGGAGAGTGGGGAGTGAAGGATCAGGATGCTGGGGCAAAGAAGAGGCAAAGAGAGAAGAGAGGAGGGCACAGAAGGGAGAGGCTGGACAAGCCTGGGAGGGATGGGGGCAAATCGCTCACTTCGTGATTTGGGGATGGGGTGATCAGAGACAGCTTGAGCAGGGACTGTAGTATAGCCTTTTACCAACTCCCTCTCCCCACTTTGGTGCCTGGACCCCTGTTCTTGTGTCTTCATATCACCTCGAAGCAACAGCCTGGAGCGCAAACTTTCTGGGATGTGACCCCAGCCTGGCTTCCTATTCTGCGGTCGCCACCCACAGCTGGACAGGGGCTCTTGGCAGATCAGCTGGGGCGCGTCCTGGAGACCAGGACACTCTGGGAAGGGGGCACGCGGAGGTTTAGGATCGAAGCGGCAGGGGCCGTGGGGCTCTGCGTCCAGGGCCGGGGCAAGGGGACCCGGCCAGCGGGAGGCTCACCTGCAGGACACGGTGATCTCCACCTTGGTGGCCGGGATGCTGCCCGCCAAGGAGTCGAACTCGCTCAGCGACGCCATGTCCTCAGGCTGCTCCATCGCCCACCGCACCCCCACCCCAAATTTGTCAATCCCTGCGCGATTCAAGCCTCCTCCGGAGCGACTGGAGCCCTGGGCTCTCCCCCAACTCCAGAGCCAGGGCTGGGCGGCAAGGGGAGGAGAGAGGAGCGCGAAGTGGGGGCGTGGGAAGTGAGAGAGGGAAGAGGGCGGAGGGAGCGGGGGCCGCGGATCGAGGAGGGGGCTCGGGTGACGCCGCGAGGAGGCTAGGGGCCCGGCGGGGAAGGGCGAGGAGCCCAGGGAGAGGGGGCACAGCGGGGAAGGCGGAGAGGGGCACTGGGAGAGAGGCGCGGGGAGAGGGGCGCGGGGAGAGGTCGCCGGGAGGGAAGCACGGAGTCGTGGAGAGGGGCAGCGGGAGAGGGACGCGCGTCTGTAGGCAGGGGTAGAGGGGGATGCAGGAGACAGGGAGAGGGGCGTGGGGGGTGGAAGGCGCCGGATGGGGCGCTGGCGGCGGGGGTGGCGGGGCGCGGGCAGCGCGGAGCCCGGAGCGCCGGGGCTGCGCCGCCTCTCCCTGGGTCTCGGCGCCAGCGGCTACCGGGCTGGAACGCGGCTGCCAGCGCCACCTCCTCAGCTCGGGCTTCGGCTCTGGGGCGCCCCGGCTGCGGGAAAATCAAATCTGCCCGAAGCCGCAGCCTCCCGCCACCCGGGAGCGCCAGAGGGGGCGCCCGCAGGGGCCGGGGCGGGGCCGCGGGCGGGGTCTGCGCGCTGGGTGAGTGTGAGCGTGTGTGTGTGTTCGCGCGCGTGTGTGTGTGTGCGCGTGGCGGGCAGGGGGACGCGGTCCAGATGCTGGGGACGCGGCGGGTGACAGCAGGAGGTGGTCCTGGTCGCGCGCGTCTTCCTGTGCGCCCGCCCCCACTCACCACCCCTATCTCGCATCAAGGGTCTCCATCCTTGGGGAGGTAGAGGGTTATGGGAACCAAGGGGCGCCTGTTTGAGAAGGGTCCATGCAGGGCGGAGAGGGGGCATAAGTGGGAGGGAGGTGTGCCTAAAAGATCCCCTCCCAGGGGTTTGGGAAGGAGGATCTCTGCTAAGTGTGTGCCCAACTCGGGGGCAGGTCTCAGTCCAGAAACAGATGCCACATCTCCTGGGGAAGTGTGTGGGGGACCCCAGTGCCAGGAGGGACCACCTCGGTTTCCCAGTGGCTCATGTAGGTTCGTGCATGGGCGCCTCCCCCATCCTGTGGTTCCCGCCAGCCGTGGCCTCGCCAAGTCGGCTGCCGAAACCACGCGCCAGCGCCCTTCCACTCCCCCGCCCGTCGTGACCACCCGACTGAGCCAGCCTCCGGGTCTAGAAGCTCCTGCCACCCAGTCTGTTGGCAACCAGACTGGGAGATCGGCCCGAGCTCCCTGGGCTTCTCTGCAACCAGCACCAAGTAGGGGCGTGCTGTGTGCCTGGGGAGCGAGGGGAGAGTTGGGACACCACTCCTGTAGTCCTCTTCCCAGCCAAGCCCCCCGCGACCCCCAACCCTAGCCCAGCCTTGCCCTTCCGGGCCTGAGGTTGCAGCGCAGAGGCGTCTCCCTGAGTGAGACTGCACACGTAGACTTGACTAGCCCCTCCTCAGCCTCAGCCTAAGCTGTGCCGAGCTAGAGCCTCCACTTCCTTACCCACCGCCTGGCACATCGAAGCCACTGTGCCTCGGGCGGGTGGGGAAGCCAAAAACCTGGTGCTGGGCTGGGCAGAGCTGCGCCCTCTGGGCCTTGCCTGTGGCGGCTGGACGATAAGGGGCTCCTCCGGATTCTGTTTGAAGTCAATTCCCAGAACATCAGATACTGTCAGTCAGAGATAAATACAAGAACACATTCCTCCGCCTGGGACAATTTACCCATGGCTCCGAATCAGCTGGACTCGGTTCTGCCTCCTGAAACAAGCAGCAAGGGGCAGAAGCTGTAATTCCCCTGAACAGCCAGGCACAGCTGGGTCAGGAGGCCCCACTCCACAGAGGATAATTCTGTCCTCCCTTTCTGAGGATGCAAAACTGAACTCGGAATCTCTGTGTTCCTCATCCCCCACACACCTGGCATAGACAATGCTCAAGGCATACTTGTGGAATATGTTCTCTATTCATTCCATGAGTATTTGCTGAGCATCTACTGTGTGCCTGGCCCAGTGCTAGGGCCCTTAGGAAACTTTGTTCATAACAATAATTAGCATCATTTCATTTTCAAAGATCTGGACCAGACATCATGCTTATATATATATATATTTTGAAATATTAGTCATATACTATAAAATTACCATTTTAAACCGTACAAATCAGTGATTTGTAGCATATTCACAGGGACCGCTCATGATTTTAAATTCTCAAAATAATTGTGTGAGTGAGATATTATTACTTTTAATGGGAAAAACTGCAGTTACTTTGCACCAACCTAATATCATCTACATTTAATAAGTAAGGAAGTCAGTGCCCAGAGAGGCTAAGTAACTTACTCATCATCACCCAGCTGGGGACTGGCAGAGTGACAATGTGAAACAAGGGACCTGAGATCAAAGCCTGACTGAGCAAGAGGCTTCACTCTCGCTTAGGATAGGGCCAGACGATGGAAAGCCATCTGTGAAATGAGGCCTTGTTGGGAAAAGCAACAATAGGGAGCCACTGCAGGTTGTTGAGCAGGTGAGTAGTAAGATTGCAGTTCTACCCGGTAACCTTGCAAAGTGACAGCATTTGGAGTAGCAGTTCCAGGGTCTCTTTCTAGAAAAATGTAGGCACTTGTCTGTGTCACTCCATTCCCTTTTAGTTATTGCCCTTTCACTGCTGGCTATTTGGCAAAGAAGAAAAAAAGGAAAAAGAAAAAAATATATATATATATATATGACACGTGCTGTGTGCTAGGTGCAGTCCTAGGCTCAGAGAATACAAAGACAAATACATAATATCTATCACCAAAGAGTTCCCAGGCTAGTGGGGGCCCCAGGATATGCAGACAGATAAACCACAGTGCAGTATGAAGAATGCTGTTGAGGTAGGTAGAAAGTGCTCTGGGAGGCCGGGTGTGATGGCTCGTGTCTGTAATCCCAGCACTTTGGGAGGCTGGGGCGGGAGTATCACTTGAGGTCAGGAGTTCGAGACCAGCCTGGCCAACATAGTGAAACCCCGTCTCTACCAAAAATACAAAAAAATTAGCCAGGCATGGTGGCAGGCACCTGTAATCCCAGCAACTCAGGAGGCTGAGGCAGGAGAATTGCTTGAACCTGGGAGGCAGAGGTTGCAGTGAGCCAAGATCATGCCACTGCACTCCAGCCTGGGTGACAGAACGAGACTCTGTCTCAAAATAAGTAAGTAAAAAGGGCTGTGGGAAGAGAGAAGAGTGACAACAGTTCTGCCCCAGGAATGGGAGAAGGGAGGGTCAGGGCAAAATGCAAAAAGGAAGTGATGCTGAGATGAACATTGAGATTGAGGTGATGTCTTAGAAGTTTGTTTCACCTAGAAGCAAACCCTGAGACAAAGATTTGTATGTGAGTAGTATATTTGGGAGGTGTCTTGGGCTGTTCCTGCTGCTATAACACAATACTTCAGCCTGGGTAATTTATAAATAGTACAAATGTATTTCACATAGTTCTAAAGGCTGAGAAGTTCAAGATCAAGGTGCCAGCAGGTAAGGTGTCTGGTGAAGGCCAGGTCTCTGCTTCCAAGATGGTCCTTGTTGCTGTGTCCTCCAGAGGAGTACACACTGTGTCCTCACGTGGTGGAAGGCAAAAGGGCAGAAAGGGGCCTAGCTCAGAGGTAATGCCTCTCACAAGGTCATTAATCCATTCTGTGGGCAGGGGTGAGACAGGAAAGGGAAGGTAGACAATAAAAGGTGCTTTATCAAGCCAGTCATCGCTACAGGCAACGAGGGTATGGTCCTGCTGCAGAACTCTGGGTGATCATAGAGCGCCCTTCAAACTTAGGGTGACAGAGGGGTGAGGAAGCTAGGATATGTGTTTTGTTTTGTTTTCATTTGTTTTGTTTTTTCGAGACGGAATCTCGTTCTGTTGCCCAAGCTGGAGCGCAATGGTGCAATCTCAGCTCACTGCCACCTCTGCCTCCCAGGTTGAAGCGATTCTCCTGCCTCAGCCTCCTGAGTAGCTGGGATTACAGGTGCACGCCACTAAGCCTGGCTAACTTTCATATTTTAGTAGAGTCAGGGTTTTACCATGTTGGTCAGGCTGGTCTAGAACTCCTGACCTCAGGCGAACCATCCGCCTTGGCCTCCCAAATTGCTGGGATTATAGGCATGAGCCACCCAGCCTGGGATATGTTGATACCAACTTCTGCCAGTCATTGGCTCAGTGGCTGAGGGCTGCTTCTGAAAGGTATTAATTTCCTGGCACTTCTGGCCTAACCAGCACCGAGAGGCAATGCAAGTTCCAGAAGCCAGAGAAAGCCTTAGGCAAAGAAATGCAGTCGGGCGTGGGACTGGAGCACACTGAAGTGGGAAAAGGGAGGGGCTGCAGTGGGCACTGGCAAGGCAATGGCTGCTACAGATGGTGAACTTCTGCCTGGAGGACAAAGCTGCACGGGCATTCCTGGCACGGGACTAGCATGAGGAAGGGCCAGAGACCTAGGGTAGGGGACTGTAGTGTGACTGGAGCACAGCGTCAGAGTTGGTGGTGGAGGTAGAATATGAGGCCAGGAGGCAAGGGGCCATGATGGAAGGCCACAGCTTCCGCTGGACACAGAGGCTTTTCAGAAGGGGACACTGGAGGAGGGGTGGTCTGAAGGACACCCTCCCGCTGCATGGCCAACTAGAACATAAAACACTGATCAGGAGCTGGGCGCAGTGCCTCACATCTGTAATCCCAGCACTTTAGGAGGCTGAGCTGGGCGAATCACCTGAGGTCAGGAGTTTGAGGCCAACCTGGCCAACATGGGGAAATCGCACCTCTACTAAAAATACAAAAAAAATTTAGCCAGGCATGGTGGCATGGGCCTGTAATCCCAGGTACTCAGGAGGCTGAAGAAGGAGAATCGCTTGAACCTGGGAGGCAGAGGTTGCAGTGAGCCGAGATTGCGCCAGTGTACTCCAGCCTGGGCGACAGGGCGAGACTCCGTCTCAAACAACAGCAACTACAACAACAACAACAACAAACTTGCTGATCAGGCCCAGGGGAAAAATGCTCCCAGCCCTTGCTCAGATGAATTGCTGATGGTTCAAAGGCAGCCCCGCAGATGTTGCCACTGGAGGAGTTGTTTCTCCTTTGAGAGATGTGTCAGGGCCGAGTAACCCCGGTCACTTGTGATGTCCAGGCAAGCCAGTGGGTGAACTGGCAGGTGCTGCAGACGTGCTGTCTGCGCCTGGCAGCCAGATCAGAAACAACCATGGCCCCGGCCCACCCACCACGTAACTACCGCTCGTCCCTCTGATTAAGAACGTCAAGCACGGAATGGGCCATGCCCAGAAGATCTGGAATAACCGGCATCAGCGTTTTGCCTTTGCCATCCAAGACTGCAAACACGCTCTCTTCTGACCTAATCCACGGTGTTAATGATGGCAGAGCAATTTTGAGAGGCAACTCACAGCATTGATAAGGAGAGGAAAAGCACCACCGGCCTTAGGAGGCAAAGCTCCTCACAGAAGAGACAGCTGCTGTCCCCTCACCCCTCCCGAAGCCCTACTTGTAAATGCTGCCCTCC